TGTGCTTTTGCAGGGGAATCACAGACTTATTAAACACCGATATACAGGCGCATGCAGGTAACTTACCGCTGCACTGCTACGGTCTTCTCATTCTACCCAGACAAAATAAAAGGTACGGTGGCCAAATAAGCTATCTTGAGACGAAATTAAATCCATCCGTACGCAACAATGTAAGGTTGTCTTAATATCTCAAGACGAAATCTCATCCAATCGTGTTATTGCTGCTCGCCTTTTAAAGTGCTAGAAAGCCCGGGGGCCACCAAACGTGATCGATGTTGCATTAGACGGGTGGACGCCATGTACAGGTTATAACCGAAAGGAGAATATAGTAAAAAGTTGAAGATGTTTTCGATTGGCCTCATACCAGGTTGAACTAGTGTATATTACTTGATTTCACGGAAATAGACGAATAGTATCACTGCACTGGTGTGCACTGTTTTTAGGAGGGCAAGACCCAATTTCCAGCTGTATCAGATATGAGAATAGCACTCAAATTGATCAAGGTTTAATTTAATAGGAATCCCGGTCCATATTGAGATTGCGCGTCTCAAGACATTCACATATCAAATGGTTCGAATAGCCCCTCAAACAGTCACTAACCGTAAGACAAACTTTGTCTATCGTCACTCGGTCACTAAGTGTTTGGAGTTTTCTGTCAATATTATAATGGCCCCGGATTTGAAGCCTTGAATCTCCACTTGATAATTCCAACGTGATTGTAACATTCAGTGGAGTGCAAAGCTTTCGGGCAGAAAACACCCAATTCCCATACGTTTTAGCTACGGTCCTTTTGATCGAAATGGCTAAGGTTCGCTTCAGTGCTCGACGGCCACCGTGATGCCGTTCCTATGGCCGCAGGCAATGGACGCGTGTATTGAATTCTCCGGCAAAGAAGGTGACATAGAAATTTTCGGCTTTACTCAATGCAGGTGGATTCCGCCATAAATATCATCTATGAACGATTGGAGCGTAGGTCGAAATCATGAACAAATTGCGTCTCTCTGTACGAGCGCTATTGAACATACATGAAACTTGTAGTGGAACCGCACTCATGCGGCTGTCGATCGGATACCAACAGAGTAGCGAGGCCTCACTTTTGCCATTTAATGCAAAGCTATCATCAGTCGAGCCAGAGGCAGCAGCCTCTCTCACCAGACAAATGCAGTAAATATTTGATCTTAAGCTTACAAAATAACGTCAAATTAACTACTGTGTAGAAGTCCTGTAATTGAGTGTCAGAAAGGAGACACATATCAATGACGATGGAAGGCATTTTGTCCCATCTGTATGAGGGTTCTAACGCTGAATACTACCAGCTAAAAGTGAGATTGAAATTTTAGGTCACTGATCAGAATCCTTGGACATGCAGGAGATTATCATCAGAATCAAGATTTACGAAGACAGAGCTCTCAAGAATTGAGAAGCGCAGGAGCGAATGCGAACAATGTCTTAACGCTAGTTATGGGATCCATCATTCTGTCAGCGGGTGCGATACTACGCGGTTGCCCAAGCCACTATGGGGAGTTATGTTAGGGAAAACCACCAGGAGCCAACCCACAAGGCAGCGAAACGATGTCAGGCAATCGCACCTCTTGGCAGACTGTGACCGACCACTCAGCTCATATATCTTTCGATTGGTAGGTTACCAAACAGGGGCCCTTGTATCCCCGCAGATTTTGCATCGGATTGCTAGCATACCATGCTCCACTGTAGTCAATCAAGGGATAGTGAATTTATTTGGTGGTTGGTCACGTTCAACACATCACAGTGTTGTTGAACAAACATTTATGCCTTTTTAGATCATATGAGTAGGAGGAGTTTAGTTGTAGCTTGAATGTATTCATCCCGGAAGCTCACAAGCTGTATGGTACCATTGACTTTTACAGCGACAATCGTGGGTTGTTGCACAAAACTGTACTGCATGAGAAAGTAGGCTTTTCTGTCTGCATGCGCAGTGGCAGTGAAGATCACTTGGGTTTGTGGGTGATCGACACTTCGAGCAGCGGGAATTGTGCACACTTCTGACAAGGTTCTATAAACTTCACCAGGCTCTTAATTATTTGAGTTTTTCTCCCAATTGCGAGGCTAGTTAACTAACTCGATGCAATAAGTTTTATCATTTTCTATGAAATATCTTTTCTTCCTTTATCGAATCTTGAACAAAGCAAGTCACTCAGCTTCTGGGTCCTCTCCAGATTTAATCCAACAAACCTGTATACACTTCAGGACCTGATACAGTTCGATTTGAGTATATTACAGGAACTTTTACTTTCGGAATCCAATACGAACGGAAACAACTTTATCTTAGAAATCCACACGCACATAGCACCTGATGACGACTAAAAAGACCTAAATTGAGATTACATGAAATCTCACAACTATCATATACTGGAGATCAGTATGTCTCACATATAACCTCGACCCCCTATTGACGGCTTGTCCGGTACCATTTTGGATACCATTCGTCTTGGAAGAGCTTGGTGTTTAGATATGTTAATATGCTGGAAAGACCCGCTCAAGGAGGTTGCGTTGTCAGAATTTCTGGAAGAATAATTATTGCTTTTATACCGTTATCCGTTTAATTACTTTCCTCTTAGACATCGGTTTAGTGATTGTACTCGAAGTTGTTCAACTGTGCGCCCTGTTGTACCCCCATATTCATCTTATATTGTCAAGGCTTTACACCCAACTAACCAATAGTAGGAACATATTCACCAGACATAAATGAAAGCAACCTTAGTCTCTGACTGTAACAGTGAGTAGAAACGTCGTGTACCTCCGAATAGTAGAAGGCAGAACGCTAAGTTAAAAAACACATAACTAATGGACGTCGACCGACTGCATATCAATAACAATTATATTGAGTTAATCGAGCTAATTGTAGTAGCACTGGCTGTCACTAGGCCTTGTACCACTAAAGGTGAATTTTACGCTTTCAGCCCAAAAGCAATATCAAATCCCAATGGCCTACTGAAGAAAATCACAACCAAAATCAAGGAAAAAGCGTCCAGAGTCTGTTTTTAAGAATATTTGTAATTGTTTCTAAACATCTGATAAGAATGCCTTTTGAAATGGTTTAATAATGTTTTATATATTTAATGGTCTGCTGAGTATAGCTGCAAAGAAATTCTCTCACTGAATTTAACTGCATAAATTTTTTAAAATTTTAAACACAGAGGTTATTGTGGGCTTAACTGTTAAAAACAGCGTGAAATTTACTTATCTGTCAAAACTAAATCATCTTGTTCTTAAGATTCCGCAGTATGAATCAAAGGAGCTTCACTTTTACACAAAATAAATGCGAAGAAAACTGTGATTGCCTCTCAAGTTCTAGAGACACAGTGGACAATATACTTTTAAATCGTACTGTGAATGACGATAAACTGTTGCAAAATTTCTGGATTTTATGAGCACGTCTTAAACTCAATACATTAGTTGAATTGGAGAAGCCGAGAAACCAAGAAAAGTCTTTAATCACTGAAAGCGTAAGCAATGATTAGCATAACGCAACCCGATGAGGGCCAGTTACGAAGATCTCTGATTGTCTAGTGGTTTATGACTGTGTATCTACTTCCCTTACTGTGGGGACAAGGTTGATTAAGGTGAATGACATAAGCTAAAAGCAGGGGTCACATATCTGGTCACAATTAGAGGAGGATGACAGTAATCTAATGCAACGCGAGCCAATGATGTGAAATACGTGTCTCATTTGCATGCAATCTCTTCACTCGGTTTTTATTCAAGCATCGATCTGTGAGTACGCAATGTCACTGACCAACTTAACTGCCTTCGCTGCTAAATAATTTATTGACAATCATCCAGCTGAGAAGTTCATATTTCTCACAGTTGACAACCTCACGCAATGTGTGGTTTGCGGTTCATGCTAGGGAAAACGTCAGCGCTAACTTACACACGCACACAGGTGGTATTTTAAAGGCAGCTGGTAGAGCTAGAATTAATGAGATAATGAGGCAACACGAATTCCGAGGATGCAATTGAGTTAATCAGATCAGAACTTGCATCAGTTAGCGAAAAGGTGGAGAGCTTTTGTGATTAGCAACCGCCTAATGCGAACATTTCCTTCCACTTGTTCTGCCAGTCTCCTTTGCACACACCTATACCCCTGGATACCCTTGGGACTTTGGACTTCATGGCAAAGTGTGCGACTGTCCTTTTTATGCAGTGGAAATTGGGTGCTCATTATGAGTCTGTTTGAAGCAGCTGCTAAGATTTGTTTCAATTTTATTCAGCACAACCATTCCTGCTCCAGTAGCTACCAACCTAAAGGGAATGGAGTTTGCAGTAAGTGTCCAGCTTTAACGGTCAACGCAGTCTGCCCCACTGTGGAAACAAAATTTGCATTGCAAAGCAAGTGCTGAAAAGAAGCACAACGTGGCGTTGCGAACATACTGCAGGTCTGCATCTACGCCACGCAAGTAAATTACACTAAACCAACTATAGATTAATTCATCGTGCAAAGGGTTGAGGCCAAAGCTTAATCTGATGATGAAAACTAAGTTGAGAGAGATGAAGTACGCTGGGCTTTTGTATTTCCTGAAACAAGTATGAAGAAACCTTAACTAAACATGTACGGGTAACTGTCACGAATAAATATTAGGTTGTGAGAATTTTCGACTCATTAAATATCATACGATTGTACTACTTTTTGTAGTATTGTAATTTTCAAACTACCTACAGTCGGTTAGAATACAAACGAAGCTGGCACACATATATGACTTGACACATAAAGCGAATGTGCAGAGAGATCCTCCGGATATGTACAGGGATATGTTTCATTCGGACGACCAACAGAACACAAACAAAGCATGCATTACGACTCCATGTTGAAGGGATCTCATCGGTTCACTAGCTGTAATAAGTTGTCTACTGTTTCATTATCTGAATATGGTTGATGCAGCTAAAAAGCTAAATAACAGCGAAGAATAAATATATGACACAAACCGAAATTTTCACTTCACACATCATGTGCAACCACCAACCTGCCTGCATAGGCATTCATACTCTCCTTCGAACAAACCATTGTTCACCAAGATGCAGTTGCTTGCACTAATAGAAGAGAGGATTTGCGGCGTTTTGATAGCTGGTATAGCATTCGGCACTTTGGAACAAGGGTTCAAACGGACCGAACATGGGTTTGGGCAAAATGGATGATGCTTTGGGTGGAGAGTATTAGGGTTGTCCTTGATAAACTCTGGCCAGGCGATCGTACAAAAGTAGTACACATACAACGCTGTTGAAAGAAAAGGCAAAATAGTTCTTCGGTGCATTTTAATGTGAAGCAGTGGACGGGTGGCAGACAAGCTGAGCAAGAAATTAATTTAGTCGAAAGCGGCAGACCAATGGTGTAGATTACAGTGGTATATTAGTTTTAGCTTATGAAGTTCCAGAAAGCTGCACTCCAGCAATATCCGCTTTAAGTAAAATGTAAGTGTACGTTCAATATCAATAAATAAAATGTTCCAACGGTGAATTTTTCAAATAAATTACCAGTGCGTCGAATATATGAACTATTTCATCCAAATATAACGCTAAGTTAGAGCAGCATAGGTTGTGTCTGTCCTGTGGTGCACGCAATTCGGCATTCAGGTAAAGCGGATTCAGTCGGTTGTCTAAATCGTCAGCTTAAGGCTTTAAACCTACTAAGCGTTGTCTATATAATGCCTTGACATACCCCATTTATTTTGTGTCATGAACTATTTAATCAAACAATGGCCAATGTGGCAACGATCATTGAACCAAGTGATTAACATGAATGATTACATTTCTGATTGAATAGATACGGCCAAATATTTTTTGTTATCTAAATACTAGCTACTCCGGTGTGAAGTTCGACAAACTTATGCATATACAAATTTTTAAACAAGCTCTCAGCTCCAAAGTGCAAACAGAAGCCGTTACTGGATCAGACATTTCAAAGTACCCCTAAAGGACCAATAAACTCGTTCCTAACCTTTGTGCCAATTGTTGCGCGTTGTGACCTAGTGGCTTAGATGTAGCGGTCACAACTAACATCCCAATGGTCCAGGGTTGGATGCCTGCTATCTCTATCTGATATGAAAAAGTAACCTCAAAACGCGTCATAATAGTGCACTGTTTTCGGACGGGCAACACCCAATTTCCAACTGCTTCAGCTACGGTCCTCTTGATAGAAGAGCAAGGTTACCTTAAAGGGAATCGCGGTCAACTTCGAGATTGCTCGTCGCGATTCACCCACACGACGTGTACTTCAAAATTGACCATCAAGATCCATAATTAACGGTTTTGCCAAGCATTGTCCGTCGTCAGCCGGTCGGTGGCTTCGGGGTAGCGCTCACAACTAACATCCCAGTGGTCTCAGATCCGACGTATGCTATCTCTATCTGATAAAGAGCTAGAGCGCGATTTATGAGCATCATGTCTCGGGTGGACAACAGGCAATTTCTATCCGCATGCAAATGCCATACCACAAATTGTATTCCCGGTAAAATATGTTGGTTTTTCTGACCGCATTTACCTAGGTTGGAACAATGTGATTTGAGATGCAAAGCTTACACGTGGATTTATTCTGGCAGTGCACATTTTTGCGGCACCGTTCGCAGTAATTGTTGCATTTAGCTTTCACTTGGACGGTGCCGTTTCTTGCAGCTTAACTGCCACTTTATCCTCACCATTCCGCCAAACTGCGTGCACGTGTTTGCACATTATTAATTTATACTGGTCATATAGAGCTGTGCAAGGTCATCAGACACTTGCTAACTTTTGGTTACATTAGGCAGCACAAATGTTCCCGTCGATGATTCAACGTATATAATAACTCGATGGTGCTGAGTTCGATTATAAAAGAAGGTCCTCCAACGGCTCTATTTTTCAAAAAATATTAATTAAATCCTTAATATTTGCAAAAGTATATTGTGTTGGATATTCTAACAAAAGCAACTCTGCCTTTTTCATGGTTGTATGGTTTCTTCCTGAGGCATCTGTTTGAATAATTCAGATGCATTCTACTACCTTCGGTGAGGATAGATTGCGAATAAAAAGGAGGAAATGTTTTCATTTTCATGAGTCGAGCACATTGCGCCCAGTTTGCTGGAAAAGCTTGCTAACCATTACAGGTCTTGAAATCCACTTTAAGTTCACAAAACCTGCATCAAATCTTTCCAAAAGTGGACAGCTGGTGTAAAGGAGGGGTTGTGTGTTAGCGTGCCTACGGTTTGGACAATACCGAAAGGTTATTACTAAGATTGTTATTCTTGTGCTGTGAAGCTGAAGCGATTAATTCGATAACAGGAACGTAAATGTGGGTATCTTGGTTTAGCATCAGTTGGGCAACCTGTGGATCACAGGGCGGAAGTTCCCAAGTCAGTAGTTCTTTCATTATCTGGTGTTTCTTTTTCAGATACTCAATAATTGTATGTTTCTGCGGTAGTAGAGTGCATATTCATGGTAATGAATTGTACTGAAATTCTGCAGGACCGTAGCAGTTTTCACGCGAAATATATGATTTCATACAAGATCTCTGAATAAGAAAACTACCATTTAAACTGAAAATATGTGGACTCAGATGAAGACTTGTTTAAGTCGAACCTAAACCTACAGCTTATCGCTTAACAGAATGGGAAATTCTGTTGTTCATTACTGGAGATGAAGTACTTGTCTAATGCAACAATGTTCTTGGACTTATGGTTATGGAACAACCGAAATGTCAACTGAAAGATAAGTGTTTTTACCGACAGCTGTAGTGGGGTCTGAAAGTGAACCTTACTGCAAAACAGAACACAGTATGCATCTGTATCAATCGCTCACATAAATAAACATAAGGAAGAATATGAAAATAACGAAAACGGTCCCGGCGAAAGCATGCTATAACCATTAAAACCGGATTCGCTGCACAGATTTAAATATACAGGACTACTTTGATATACAAGGATGAATGCTTCCAGTGTTTTTGAAACGCAAGGCCAAACAACATCATTGGAACAGAGTAACTTGGACTACAAGGGAAGAATTGAGTGCAAACGCGGTGAATTTCGTAGAGGATCCATTAATCGGCAGAGGAATCGTTATTCTACAAGCAAACTTATGAAGTTGGGCATGAGGAAGCAATTTGGTAAACAACTGAAATAGATGGTGCTTGTCTCAAGTAGATTATAATCGTGTTGTGAAAGAACTATGGAGAAATTGAACAATGGAATCTTTTATGGTCCTAAAGTTTGATATCCCATTAACAGTGGTGGATTTATATAATGTAGGAGCGATGTCGGATTCCTGCGTAACCATAACGGAAGCAAGTATGAAGAATAAGTGGAGAAAGGACCAGCAAACGTTTTAACATTTGGTGGTAACGTGAGCATATGTTGCTTTCTAGCTAAATATTTGAGAAATTCCTGACTAAGATTTGTGATTTCAGCAAAGCAAGAAGCAACGTTTACTGAGGACATAATAACGAGATGGAGCATCCTTAGCAGTCTTCCATGTACAGTATAAAAGGAAATCGTACAAACAAAGTATCGCCATGAACTAGCTGAGGTCAGTTACGACAGCTGAGTAGATTATATCCTCAATTGTTGTACAAATAAGGCCAGTAGTCAATTACTGTCTCTGCCTTCGTGGTACAATAATAATTTCACTATGCCCCTTAGACTAAGCGTTTTCTTGTTTGCTATAATATTATGAATTTGGTTGGCAAACTGGAGATCAGAAATTATAGCCAGTATTGCAAAACCGAGGACAGAATCGGAGCTAGTAACACGAACTTGCCTTAAGTTTGCCATAATTACATTGACACAAAATAAGAGTTAATCAGTGTTCTTAGTGGTGAGGAAATCGATTTATAATAACTATTCCATACGAATCGTAAGCTATACTAGCACTGGAACTACCGTTGCGCTCCTGTGTATTTTTGCGTCAGAAACATAGCATCCTGGATATCAAGGTCACATATTTACTCGCACATCGAAGATAGTAATTTGCGAGTGTTTATTCAATTTGAAACTTCCAGGCTTTCAAGTTTATTTGACTACTATAAAATATGTCCATTGTTTACTCTAGTAAACACGCGACTGGCAAGGTAGCAATAAGCGTTGAGCAATCGATTTTGCATGTCGGCTAATAGAGCTAACAGCGATTCATTGCCTGTCGGCTATGCCATGTGATAGCTCACAACTTGTAATTTATTGTAACTGCAATTTATTGATGGCCGTAGATAATTAGACTGGCCGATGCAGCCATATCCTAGTATAGAAAAGCAGCCGTTTGTGACATCGCCTGACTGGCGTGGTGCTAAAATGTTGCCTCAAAATTTAGGTCCATGAGGCCTTTGATTGCAATCGAAATCAAAAGTAAACTACATGCGTCAGACTAACTTCCCATTCTGGCTTTGGGTATTTTTCAGATGTCTTAATCTCTACTCTGGTAATCTTAGTCCTTTGCACCTAGCTGCTAAAGTTGATGAGATGTGATTTGGTCTTACACACACCCAACATTCCCAATGCGGTGATACACAGAACTTGGTTATTTGACCAAACACTGGCAAGCACACTATTGAAATTATTCACTTGATTTACAGTATTAATGAACCGAAAATTGTCTTTTGTTGGAACTTACAAAAAACATTCTGTTCCGACTGATCCCATGATATAACTGAAGGATTCCGAACGGTGTATTGAAAAATACTCAAGAACTTGGAGTAGTCGCAAACATAGAGTCCGCCTATGCTAATCATGTCCGTACATGCACCACATTTCGTGAAATATTCCGGTAGGTCCATTCTCCAATTTTCATCAAAACTTTGGATATCATTCGTAATCGTCAACGGGATCACTTGTATGGTAGATCGATTGTAAGGTACCGGGATCGTTTTGCCTTGCGTATCGAGTTGCGGGATATTATCGCCAGGGCACTTCGCGTCACCTTCTCCAGCCTTTAACATGCTCTCCATTTCCTTTGCTCCATATTGACAATACTTGACAAGATTACTATATGTACAGATTCGCTCGTCATAGGGAGTCAAAGCACCCGTGCATTGAGTGATATTTAACACAAACTGCCCAACCACTGCACCAAGGAAATCAATCGGGAACCCGTAAGGATACTTCAAATTTTCAAATGCGCGCAAGCTCCAAAATGGGTGCTCCCTTTTGACATCGACCGGGGTTGGCTGGCATTCTGCAATTGAGCTAGGTAGACTGGTGACGACGACATACAAAATGGAGTGGAACGCTGGAAATAAAAGGAAATAATTTAAGCAAATAGAATACAAATTAGGTACTGATAGTGGCTGGTGTTAATGGTGATTACAAGCAGTTGGAATCTCAGCCCTAAGTGCACATAAGATAGGCCAGCTAACCACTTATGGACTTCGACGTGTGAGAGTAGTTGGAAGTCACGTAATGCAATATCAATCGAAAAACACGCATAAACACCTTGGTGGAGAGAGTTTTATCATCCGGATCCCTTCGAATGCAGGTAGATTAAAGCTGGTGCTGTGCCAAACCAATAAGATTATCGACTTCGAAAAATGTCGTTATGTTTAAGGATTATATATATATTTATACAAAAGTGACTTCCATCCATCAGAAGAGAACTGACGCGACGAAACAAGCTTTTGGTGAAAAAGCAGAAAACACACCAAAAATGGCATGTAAGATGAAAACACAATATGCTTTTTTAAAATTTTCATGGTTTGGGAAGATATCTTAATGAAAAGCCATTATTTCTGAGAAAACCCGGTTAAGTCAGTCAGTGCTTGTTGAAAAAATCTAGAAAATGTTTTGGCTTAGGTGCGTTACTACTCGCATGTAAACTAAGTAAACCTATTTCACACCAGTAATTTAGCCAAAGTAATTGGTGATAAAATAAATTATTGGTGGGCAAGGCACTAAAACATAAGGCCGGCTTATCAGCCGAACCGTGACATCCACTATATTTTCGTGACCGTCCCGTTGGAAAAGCCTTTGGCAAAAACTTAGACCAATGCTTTTTTGGGAGTAGAAATATATGTGGAACTGGGCTGTTTTATTTGGAATTGAACAGAAATTGTCGGTCTAACAGAATGAACAAACTCTTCACTTATCAGTACGATTCTGTCGAGTCAAATGGTACCACTTCGACACCCAATCGAGCTACCTAAGCGTCCACGTTCCCGTGCTTATCGTTCTCCCTCACCTGAGCATTCATATACCGTTTTTCTAAAAATAGTTGCGGTTGTGTGTTAGGTTTAGCAGCTTGTATTCTATGTATTGCAATCCTTACATGAAATGTGTTACCCACATTCAGCTATTTTGTATTAAGGATGGCGCCTAGTTACATCCGGACATCACAGTCATCGCAGCTTAGCTCTTGTCTGGTTGGAGTACCACATGAGTAATGAGTTTTTTCGGCGTCGCGTAGGAATGGAGAGTGAACCGCATAGCGCCGGTATATCCCGTGCCTGGCCCTGATCTCTAGGCCACCTGATGTGCATAGTAGCACACCGACTCACGCAATATGCGCTGTTTGTCCGACCTGGGTCTGGATGGAAGGAGAGAAGAGGAAGCCAAACGAAGCATTGGTCAAGAGGAATGAAGTCCTTTACTACGATCTTGGCCTCGGTTGGTGCCTCTTGACGGCTGGGCTGGTGTTTGATGGACGATAAACACGTTTCCTTGGACATACCGGTTAACATAGCCAGGAGCTGACCATAGTTGCGTTTGTGTCGTGAGTTTCTTTGTCTCTCCATTTCGTACTTAGCTTCCACCTCTAAAAACCATCTCACACCGCAAAAATAATATTGCATATAGTATTAAAATACTGGCATTTCAGCTTTTGTACTGTGTTATGTTTGGCAACTCACTTTCTTGCATATGTTATACTTTGTATTGCGACACAGTTGGCCGAAATGTGTTTCTCAATTTATGCTAAGGTATAATGTTGTTGGTGATGATTATGATGATGCTCATGATGATGATGATGAACCCTGTCCCCAACCTTTGTATAGACTATTTCCATTAATGTTGATTTAATTTGTGCAAACAACTATGCGGCTCGCGCCACTCGTATCCCACGAGAACGAACATAATAGATACTGTGCAATGGTGAATAGCAGTGAATAGCAGTAAGGAAAATGTGGAATGTGGTATCCCCGTTGCGTAACCCGTAAGTATCGGTCACTGGAATAAATCATAGAAAAAATTGGATAATCCTGTAGTTGCTCGCTGAGAGTCACGTAGGTCTTATCGTATTTCGGATAACCGCGAATGATTTTGGTGCAGGTACTTGAGGTCACCTACACCACTCAATGTAAGGTTTACAAAACAATAAATTGGAATGCCGTTCGACCATATAGCTTATAGATATGTGAAATATGACAATTTAGCATAAAAGTTTCAATAGTACTTTGAGTATTCTGTGACGATAAACTTGCAGTTAATTTTAATTTTGAACGGCCTAAACCAAATAGCGACGTGATGTGTGCACTTTAGTTAACAGCTGATACAGAAACGTAATTTCTAACTCAACAGCTGGACTGGACGGGTACTGTGGAGCTGAGTATGGTACATTAGCAGCTGGTAACACTCAAAAAATGAATTTGACGTCTTATTGATGGAAGCGAAATTCACAAAGGGCTCATAAGACAGCTTATGCTTTAATGTCACGCTCTGCTAACCCTGAGCGGCGTTCCCAACTCAGTTCCTCAAGTACCAATCGTCATGCGCATATAGTTATTGTAAATGTGATTGTATCAAATTTGCTAACTACCTCCTTCCCAAAACGCAGTACAACTATTACACCTCACTGTGCTGGACAAGGCCCATGTTAAGTAAAGCTAGAATAATGCGGTTTTAGTTAAAAGTTTGGTGATATGTCATCGCATCCTTGAAGTTTCTCACCACGCATGTGCTAACCGCACATTCGAAATTTGAGACACGATGTGAGGGGCACTGCGTGTACCAAACATGGGCGCGCTTGTAGAGTTAAGCGCTGATAAGTTTGGGCTGTCTCGCGAGCGAGGTTCCCATGTACCCGTAAACAAACACTGACAGCGTCTTAAATATCGGAGTTCCTTGGAAAAATATTAAATATCAAAATAAATCTGACGACACTTTAGCAAAGATGGAGTGAATAGCTACAGTGTTATGCATCACACATTCGTCTAACACTGACGGCGTACGCGAGAACGAATAAAATAACCGGTCCACAAGCGAAAGAACCAAGTGAACAACAAAAAATGCGTGACAAAATTACAGTCAATATTACTACATTAAAGCGGTGCGTTTGCTTAAATAATAGTGAACTGTGAGCCGCAAGGATTACGCTACCTCAAGTAATACTTCTCATAAAGCGGAATACCAGCAGCTGGCATTGTCTGCGCAGGTTTCAGTGTGTCCTACGAGCCGAAGTATTTCGTTTCAGACGTTTCAGCAACAGTCGAGATGAATCGTCCGTGCATAGTAAACAAAAGTTGACTGATGAGAGAGGAATGTTGGAATATGGCCAATTAAATTCACGCCACTGACAATTATTACTAGTTTTCAGCTCGATCGATGCCCCTTTTAACCTCATGTGGTGAATGACCCGCTTAAAGTTCTCTTTTTTGCAATTGATGATATAGCTGGTCTGAATCGATGTGCAGGTTTATCGCGTTCTCCATAGAGAAACAGGCTTCAAGTAATTCTCTTCCTCGTCTTGTCTCTGCCTATGTAGGACTTCCGTTTTCTTCCAATCAAACATGCGTGCGTTGAGACAAATGGTAATGAGGAATGGTTTCGCATTGACTTATACCCTATCTACCACCATATGCTATAAAATGAAGTTTAGACGGGTTTTTCACCACATAATTCTAAAAGAGGCATCGGTCGAACTGCAAACTTGCAATGTTCACGGAGCGTGAATCTAAGTGGCCAAGTTCAAACGTAACGTATCGGTCAATTTTTGTTTAATACGCCCTGAAGAAGTCGCAACGATTGTTGCTGAAACGTCTGCCAATAAATAGTTCGTCTCGGAGAACAAACCTAAACCTGCACAGACCAACTGAGCTACAGGTTTGCTGTGTTATTGCTAAAAACAACGGCTGTCAGCAATTCGAGCTGTCATCAGATGGGAGGATTTCGTCTGCAGGACGCCAGACCCACGGGATTTATTGCCGGATTCGAGAATGTTTTTAATCCAATTACTTTAACTCAGAGACGAAAAAACAATAAAGACATGCCGTCGTTTCAATCCAAACACCTTATGGTTATCTAATTGTTTATCACAGCAAGCGAAGAAAGCACTAAAATCCTTAAATGTTGGTGAAACTATCGTGATCCTGCCTGCAGACAACGGGTGTATGACTGTTATAATGTAGAAAACAGAATATGTTGAAAATACAAGGCACCTCGTGAGGTAAATCACAACATACCGCTGCTTTTAAATTAATCCAACAGTACACGTAACAAAAAAATAAATAAGCCCCTTAAAGCTTCAAAGCTTCCAAGTAACTCACAAAGGACGTGCACGATAAAATGTAAGCTCGTGACTCAAACATCGCCCGATTCTACGGACTTCCGATGGTGCACAGAGCCGGTGTACCACCTCGGCCAATCGTGTCACTCTCTGCTACGCCCAACGACAGCTTGGCTAAAGAATTATGGAGGCGCCTTAAACGTCTGACTAGTGAACCGCCGTATTCCGTAAATAACCCTTAGCAGTTTTTGGAGAAGCTCCAAGGACTGCGAATCGATCATGAAGAAATAATGGTGTTCTTCGACGTCACTACACTGTTCACTGCTACCAAATTACAAGTGGCGAAAATAACGTCAGAGAACGCCTGAATGTTGGCAAGGACTAATTGAGAATCTGACGACCGAGAGTATATGCTAGCTTCTTGACCTGTGTCTCACGACGTAACTTACTGCGATGGAGCATTCTATGAACAAGTGAAAGGAGTCCCAATGGGGTCCTCTAAATCCGGATTAATTGCAGAGATTGTCATGCAAACGTCAGAAAAATAATCTACTCCCAGTCTTGAAGTGGATATTGTGGGTTAGATGTGTTGAAGACACTTTCTAATTACTCAAAAGCAGCCATTTGCAGATCGCAAAAGGCTTGCTAAACCATGCAACGGACGGCATTCACTTCATTATGGAGTTAGAAAGGGAAAACAAACTACCCTTCGTAGACGTACTGGTAGATGAAACAGCGGACGTGGAACTACGAACATCAGTACACAGGAAAGACAAGCACACAGATCAAATCCTAAA